CAATAACAATGTTCTCATGTGTTTCAGCTGTTATCAATAACAATGTTATGTGTTTCAGCTGTTATCAATAACAATGTTCTTATGTGTTTCACCTGTTATCAATAACAATGTTGTTATATGTTTCAGCTGTTATCAATAACAATGTTCTTATATGTTTCAGCTGTTATCAATAACAATGTTCGTATAAGTTTCAGCTGTTATCAATAACAATGTTCTTATGGGTTTCACCTGTTATCAATAACAATGTTCTTATATGTTTCAGCTGTTATCAATAACAATGTTCACTCCCCTCTCACCTGCCAGGTGGAGTGTGTTGCTCACAGTGTAAACGTGTCAGTGTGTGTTACAGGTGTGTTACAGGTGAGTGACGGTTTACCTGCAGGTCGGTCTTCATGAGCGACGCCCCGGCCTCCACCAGGTAGTGACAGATGCTCCTCTGACAGGAGGAGGCGGCTTTGTGGAGCGCTGTCTCACCTCTGGAGAACAAAACATGAATATTAGTAACACAAACAGTTTAAAGTATTCAGAGAAAGTCTAACAGGTATTTTAAAAGAAACTTGACTCACGTCTCCTTCTCCGTTATGTTCAGGTGAGACGTGGGCACTAAAAAAACACACAAAATGCATTTAGAAACATCAACAAACTGTATTATCTTCATCTTTAGAATACAATATGAACATGTATAAATATATATAACAACAATTAATTAATTTAAGTGAACAAACCAACAAAATGTTTTTCAAGTCAAAGATTATGAAACGGCAGAATATTAAAGGAGCTGAAGGAGATAAAGGAGCTGAAAGAGATAAAGGAGATAAAGGAGCTAAAGGAGATAAATGAGCTAAAGGAGCTAAAAGAGATAAAGGAGCTAAAGGAGATAAAGGAGATAAAGGAGCTAAAAGAGATAAAGGAGATAAAGGAGCTAAAGGAGATAAAGGAAATAAAGGAGCTAAAGGAGCTGAAATAGATAAAAGAGCTAAAGGAGCTAAAAGAGATAAAGGAGATAAAGGAGCTAAAGGAAATAAAGGAGCTAAAAGAGATAAAGGAGATAAAGGAGCTAAAAGAGATAAAGGAAATAAAGGAGATACAGGAGATAAATAAGATAAAGGAGATAAAGGAGATAAAGGAGCTAAAGGAAATAAAGGAGCTAAAGGAGATAAATAAGATAAAGGAGATAAAGGAGCTAAAGGAGGTAAAGGAGATAAAGGAGCTAAAGGAGATAAATAAGATAAAGGAGATAAAGGAGCTAAAGGAGATAAATAAGATAAAGGAGATAAAGGAGCTAAAGGAGCTAAATAAGATAAATAAGATAAAGGAGCTAAAGGAGCTAAATAAGATAAATAAGATAAAGGAGATAAAGGAGCTAATGGCTAAAGCTAAAAGCTTTATTAAATAAAGATAAGAAAGAAACTAAACAGTGGAGTCAAACTAAAGAATTCACAGAAATGATTTCAAATGTTCAATTAATATTAGTTTGTTTGTGTGTGTGTGTGTACAGTGCGTGCAGTGTGTGTAGTGTGTGTATATAGTGTGTGTGTGCTTCTCTCACCGTGGTCGATGAGGTACTTGAGGATCTCTCTGCTCTCGTTCTCCACAGCGTGATGCAGCAGAGTGCAGCCGGCCTCGTCCTGCAGCAGGAGGTCTGCCCCCTGCTGGTGGAGCTCCGTCAGCTGCACCACAACAATAACAACAACAACAGCCTGAGATAGCCTGACATCAATCATCGGGTTAATTTAAGCTGCTAATAGGACATTTGATCAACTTAGTTGAACCACGTACGAGGAACGGGGCCCAGGTTGAGGAGTAAATGAACACATAGTCGTGTTTCCAACAGAAACAAAGTGAACATCCAGTGAAGTGAAAGTTGAAATGAACACATTTAATGTAAACGTTGATGTTTTATTAAAGATAAGTGTTAATGAGCATCAGACCTCAGAGGGTTCACTCACTCTGTTCAGGTCTTCAGTCCTGATGCAGTGGATCAACTCAGCATCTACAGAACAAACCAGTTACAGTGAAAACTCTCCAACTGTTGCTTTCTATTCCTACAACCAGTCAGAAGAACGTTCTTCTGTAATAAATCATGTTTAGACTTTCTGAACTTCATAAAACTATGAGAGACCGTTAGGGGTTAGGGGTTAGGGTTTAGGAGTTAGGGGTTAGGGGTTAGGGTTTAGGGGTTAGGGTTTAGGAGTTAGGAGTTAGGGGTTAGGGTTTAGGAGTTAGGGGTTAGGGGTTAGGAGTTAGGGTTTAGGAGTTAGGGGATGGGGAGTTAGGGGTTAGGGGTTAGGTTTACCTTGTTGAGGGCCGTGTGAGGTCGCTCTGGAAGGACTGTGAGAGAGACAGATCAGATCAACATTAGAGAAGATCACACACCGATGATGTCACACCACACACACCGATGATGTCACACCACACACACTGATGATGTCATACCTAACGATGGGTCTGAATTCAGCCAGCGTTGTGTTGGAGCGATGAACATTAACAATCTTTGCTCCTCTCCTTCAGACCACAAGATGGACACAATGAGACGTCAGCTCCAGGTACTACGGATGTGTACTCTATGAAGTACCATGTATGTGTACTGTATGTGTATTCTATGAAGTGTACTGTATGTGTATTGCATGAGGTACCATGTATGTGGTACTACATATGTGTACTGTACGAGGTACTACGTAGGCGTAGTGTATGTGTACTGTATGAGGTACCATGGATGTGTAATCTATGAAGTACCATGTATGTGTACTGTATGAGGTAAAACATATGTGTACTGTAAGTAGTACCATGAAGTATTTCAAGCAGTCAGACGGAGACATATACACACTTATATATATATATGTGTGTATGAAGGTATGTGTATGTATGTATATACAGTACATATATACACATAAATACATACATGTACACATGATGACGAGACAAACAGTAATTTTATTTCCGGTTTATGTGAAATAATAAAAATTATTTATCATAAAAGTGACGTGAAAAGTACAATAACTAAAGTACACATTCAGTACTTTTACTTTATTGTTGTTGATCTGATCCTTTTTACAGTAAATAAATATGAATATTTCTAATATATAGAATATTGTTGATTATTTAACACAACTAGAATTAAAGAGAAAAAAGCAACAGTTTTTATCAAATAATTGATTTTTAAATTCTGCTGTTGGTTTATTAATTACTGACTGCTGTTCAGGTCTGGTTCAGGTCTGGTCTGGTTCAGATCTTATTCAGGTCCGGTTCAGGTCCGGTTCAGGTCTGGTTCAGGTCTGGTTCAGATCTGGTCTGGTTCAGGTCTTGTTTTACTCGTATTGAATCTCATTAACGTGTCTTTTAAATCTTTACTGTATGAATCACGTGAACATGTTCACTACCTGCAGAGGGCGCTCTGTGAGGAACTCTGAGACAAAACCTCAGACACACAACTGTCACTGGAGATCCTCTTTCTCTGGAGGTCTCTGAGTCTGGAACACAAGACAGACAGACAGACAGTATGAGAGACAGACAGACAGACAGACAGACAGACAGACAGACAGACAGACAGACGGACAGTATGAGACATATCATTGTCTTTGACTCTGAGATAAATGTTGTTAAAGATAAATAGTCAATCATCATTATTATTATTAATATTTTAGTTAATTATTTTTATTAATAGTTTAGACATCTCTCACCTCGGGGGGATTGATGGGGAGACCGATGAGACCGGGAAGACGAACTGTCTCTGCTGGTCCTGGTCCTGGTGGTCCTCAGAATCCAGCAGGTCCGGCACGCCGGGGGAGGTGCCCACCGTCTCGGTGACGACCAGCTCCGGATCCAGGATGTAGAGCTCCTCCTGAGAGATCTCCGTCACGTAGTTCAGGTGCTCCTGAGACACAGAACCAGTATAAATAGAATGATGTCAGAGAAAAAAGAAATGAAGCTGATCCGGTTCTGCTGTCACACCTGAGCCCGGTCAATCCGGTACAAGCGGTCTGCTGTGGTACCTGGAACACAAAGAAGACCAGGATCAGGTTCTCTGTGAGGGACGGACTCCGAGAACCTGTGGGGGGGGGGGGGGAGGGGCTTACAGTCCAGGAAACACCACTTCATGGACAACTTGTGAGGAGACAGACCGTCCACCTTCATCAGGTCTCCGTCCTGGAGGAGCAGAGACACTTTGTTCATTATTATTATTCATAACATCTCTCTGAACACGCTGTTGATCATCTTTACTTTATTTTATCCCCTTTTTATGATGCGTCTGTTGTTTGTTTTCTACTTCAGTTGTTTTTGGTTGATAAAAAAAGTGATAATTTTATGATCATCATTATAATTGTTATAATTATTATTACTATCACCAATATTATCATCATAAAATCATTATTATTTTTGTTAGTAAATATATTAGTATTAGTATTAGTAGTAGTAGTAGTAATAGTAGTAGTAGTAGTAGTATTCGTAGTATTCGTAGTATTCGTAGTAGTATTAGTATTAGTAGTAGTAGTATTCGTAGTAGTAGTAGTATTCGTAGTAGTAGTAGTAGTAGTATTCGTAGTAGTAGTAGTAGTAGTAGTAGTAGTAGTATTCGTAGTAGTAGTAGTAATAGTAGTAGTAATAGTAGTACTAGTAGTAGTAGTATTAGTAGTAATAGTAGTGGTAGTAGTAGTAGTAGTATTACCTGGTCCTGGACCTGGTCCAGGTCCTCATGCAGATGCTCGATGAGCGGACGGCAGGTCTCCAGGTCGCTGTCTCCGGGGACGGTGATGACTCCTAGAGGAGTCGCTGAGAGGACAAGGTCAGAGTGAACCTGTTCAGTCTGACGTTACACGACTATGACATCATTTGATCAACTCATAAATAATCAAACAGCTGATATTTAATTATTCTTCTTATTGATCTGATCACAGTTAACCCTTCAGTGACTCACAGGCCTCCTTCAGCTGGTCCTTGTTGTAGTGCAGAGCCTCGTACGCCGCCATGCTGATCCGGTTCACTCTGATCTGGAGCTTCTCAGGAACCGGCTGCTGACTGCAGTGGAGTATTTTCACAGCGGGTATTAGTACTTTTACTGCAGTAAAGACTCAGAAACATGTGATGGATTGGTGTAGAGTTTACTCGTTGAGGTGGGGCATGGAGATCCTCCTCTTGGTCTTCTGCACCATGTTGGCCTGGTTCCTGAGGTTGATGTGGATGATGGAGGGAGCCAGTTTACAGGGCTCTCCGTCCACCTGCATGGGGATCGACTTGTAGGTGGTGAGGGTCACTTCTTTACACTGATGGAGCCGCTCGCCGTGACCACCCACCTGCAGTGTGGCCTGGACACAAACAACAACCACAGGTCACCCAGACACAAACAGCAACCGCAGGTCACTAAGACACAAACAACAACCGCAGGTCACCAAGACACAAGCAACACCCGCAGGTCACCAAGACACAAACAACACCCGCAGGTCACCCAGACACAAACAACACCCGCAGGTCACCCAGACACAAACAGCAACCGCAGGTCACCAAGACACAAACAACAACCGCAGGTCACCAAGACACAAGCAACACCTGCAGGTCACCAAGACACAAACAACACCCGCAGGTCACCAAGACACAAACAGCAACCGCAGGTCACCAAGACACAAACAACAACCGCAGATCACCAAGACACAAACAACAACCGCAGGTCACCAAGACACAAACAGCACCCGCAGGTCACCAAGACACAAACAACAACCGCGGGTCACCAAGACACAAACAGCACCCGCAGGTCACCAAGACACAAACAACAACCGCAGGTCACCAAGACACAAACAACAACCGCAGGTCACCAAGACACAAGCAACAACCGCAGGTCACCAAGACACAAACAACACCCGCAGGTCACCAAGACACAAGCAACAACCGCAGGTCACCAAGACACAAACAACACCCGCAGATGGAGCTGCTGCTGCTTGAGTCATGACTCGTGTAGATTAAACACATGATTTGGTGTCTTTGGTGTCATTTTTGACACCAAAAACAGAATTGCATACGAATCAATAATATGAGGCTGATGAGCTGACGTGGTCTCACGTGGTCTGACGTGGTCTCATGTGGTCTCATGTGGTCTCATGTGGTCTGACGTGGTCTCATGTGTTCTGACGTGGTCTGGCGTGGTCTGACGTGGTCTGACGTGGTCTCATGTGGTCTCATGTGGTGTGACGTGGTCTGACGTGGTCTCATGTGGTCTGACGTGGTCTCATGTGGTCTGACAGCTCACCAGAGACGTCATGGTGAAGCCGATGACCTCGATGCAGCCGTCGTCGTGGCGCTGCGGTTCAAAGTCCTGGTGTTCACTGGGGTGACCCCACGGCACGGTGCCGGCACAGTACCTGCACACAGAGACCGGTCAGAGGTCTGCAGACCGCTTCAAACTGTAGAAACAGTCACTTGGCGTACCTGGGGATGTTGAGGAAGAGCAGACACTGTAGCTTCAGGTCCTGGACTTTGGCCGTCAGGTCTGTACCGTCACACTGAGGAGGGAGACGCAGACTAAATACAAGTACACACAGTACTCACACAGTATCCTGAGCAATACTGACGATATGTATTTATATTTATGTATTATTCAGGTAAATCTTGTTTTATATTAAATATAAGACACATTTTCAACAGATGGTTGTAATAGAGGACGTGATGTACAGAAGCTCAGGTCTCTGATTTCAGGTGAGGATTAAACACATAAACTGTTTCAATCTGACGGACATGAAACTATTTATATAGAAAATGTATAACACATTTGAGTTATTCTGAATAAATGTTGCTGCTGTTCTATTCTGTTGTTTGTGTCAGCAGCCAAATGTGGATTAATCCACCACTGAAAGTAGTCCCCAACAAAGTCACTACTTCCTCCTGTTTCTTAAATAAAAGCTACAATAAAGCTTCACATGTAAATCATATTTATAAGCCTTCTGTCACGTGTTGTACATTAGTGTTTACATATTTAAATAAAACAGTTCATCTGGTCTTTGAGCATCGATGTTTCTAACTGATGGATGTATATATATACACATCCGTATATATATACATCTTTATACAGTATATATATATGGATGTATATATATGCGGATATATGAAATGTAATAACTGATGCAGCTGATACAGAAACAAAGTTCCAACATGGCCGTCACCTGAGTTAGCTCGCAGCTAGCTAACTTGACAAAATGAGACTTTCTTGCTGCAAAAGTATCTGTTTTTTTACCCTAACCCTAACCCTGATGTGTAATTCAAGCGGGAAATGTTTTGTCTCTCGTCTTTGACTTCCGTCCATATTAGTAGTGAGTGATGTCCTGATGTCAAGAAGAGAGAGATGATGATGAGGAAGAGAGAGGAAGACTCACCACCACTCTGATGTGCTTGGCGAGGTCTTTGGAGCTCCCGCTCAGGAAGTCTGAGAAGGCCGTCTGAAACACACACACACATCATAAATCATAATGATAATAATAATAATAAAGTAATAATAACAACAACAGAGCTACACTTACTCCTGCATAGAACATCTTGTTCCTGAAGCGGCTGTTAAACTTCTCTGGGTTCGCCTCTGGAAGAAAAACAAAGTGTTTCTATTTTTACATCAGAAAGCATCTGTGACATGAAACACAGACTCATAAGCTCGTTATCTGGAACTAAGGAAGGAACTCAGCTCGCTCACATTTCCATCTATCGTTTGGTTTCTCGGTTTCATTATGTGAGTTTACATTGATTAGAGAGCTTTCTATTGGTCCCTGTTGGGTGATGAGGTCACTGAGGATGTGGATGAGAACAGAACAAATAAAGGAGGAGCAGTGAGGATAACGGAGAGAGGAGGAGGAGCCTCAGATACATGTTTGATTACAGCAGCTAGTCTACAAGGATCCGGAACATGTATTATTCATTTCAACTTCTCTGAAGTCAGTGAACCATCAAAAATACTAAATGTTATACTTTTAGTTTGTTGAAGTAATTTCTAAATATTTGAATTATTTGTAAAAACTTGTTTTTATTAAAAATTTCAGTCTAAATTTTAGAATGCGGCCTCTGATAGAACAGCTTTGCTCCAAACATTTCATAGAATCAGAATGTTGTGAATGGAAGCAGCAACGTGACAGAAGACAAACCGACCAATCACAACGCTCCATTACTGTCTTCTGCTCGGCATCCGTAAATGAAATCACTTCTTAAAACATTTTTAAAGGTCGACTTAAATGGGATGTCGTCGCTTTTCTGTTTTATTATTTTATTTGTTGATTTTACTAAATTATTTTACTACATTTTTTCTATTTTATGTTATTTATTTCTTAGTTTATTTGTATTCGTGACTGTCTCACTGAGCTGTGGGTGCTATATAAATAAAGTCATTATTATTATTATTGAGATGGAAATGCTCCTGAATGTTTTGAACACGTGTGTGTGTGTGTGAATAGTAATAAATAGAAGTGACTGAAGGTAATCCCAGTGATTGATGTGTGAAGAGGCTTTAGTGCAGTGATACTCAACTGTTCAGCAGCTTTTCAAACTCACAATAAATATAAATTCAATGTCAATAAGAAAAAAACATGAAAATATATTAGATTATCAAAACATCAGACTGAACCCTGAATATCCTCAGATAGATAAAGGTGAGTTATGGCCCTATTAATGTCAGTTCAGTTTATCTGATAAATGGTATTAATGTTTGTTTAAGAGAAAGTTGACTCTTCTTGCCTCAGAGAGCTCAGACTGACCTCTGGATTCATGGAAGCCCAGCGTGACGTGAGCATCGAAGCCCAGACTGAAGTAGTTGTTGAAGACGTCGATAGGAAGCTGAGAAACAGCAGAAAGAATCACCGTGGTTAAAGACGTCTGACTGAACGTGACCTCTCGTGTAATGACTCTCAGACTCTCCGCAGACCTTGTCGGTCTGATGCTCGTCCCGGTCCTCCGGTCGGGCCTCGGGGTTCGCCTCCACATTCAGGTTCCATCGATCCAGCTGGACGATGTTTCCGTCCTCGACGTGTGAGAGGATCTTTGTTATCGGCTCGTCGGTGTAACCCTGGGAGAGAGGAGAGACACTTTCAATCTGTAATAATATGAATGTCTGAATGCAGAACTTGTATTGAAGTATTTTTATACTGTAGTATTACTTCTATCTTTCACACCGCATCAGGACCACTGTGAAAAGCTGGCAAGTAGGGCTCCAGTTGAACCTCCGTATAATTCCAGTTAAACCCCAGTATAGCTCCAGTTAAACCCCAGTATAGCTCCAGTTAAACCCAGTATAACTCCAGTTAAACCCCAGTATAGCTCCAGTTAAACCCAGTATAACTCCAGTTAAACCCCAGTATAACTCCAGTTAAACCCCAGTATAACTCCAGTTAAACCCCAGTATAACTCCAGTTAAACCCCAGTATAGCTCCAGTTAAACCCAGTATAACTCCAGTTAAACCCCAGTATAGCTCCAGTTAAACCCCAGTATAACTCCAGTTAAACCCCAGTATAGCTC